ATAAATTATAATTGTGAACACTGGCAATATACATAACTGAATGAACAACCATAAAAAATGACATACTTGTATATAAACATCTGTTGTAAGATCTACAAATGTGTGTTTGGATAAAGACCTCTTAGATCCATGGAGAAATTAACCTAGTTAATTTGTTTATTTTATTTTTTAATTTACTTTTTGTTTTATAACTACATAAGCACTTACCATGTGCTAGACTTCATTTTAAATGTTTTTAAAAATATTAACTTATTCAGTTCCCTATATTCAGTTCTATATAAAGCAAGCATTGTTGCTATCCTAGTTCTACAAATGATAAATAGAAAGAAGCAGAGATCTTGAGTAAATTACCCAATGAACACATCCAGTAAGGGTACAGTTGAGAGTGTTTGGCTCCAGAGTTTGTGTTTTTTAACCACTGTGTTTTCTCACTTTTGTTCAGTGTTTTTATAATAAAGATTTGATAATAAATCCTAAGTAACGAAAAACGAAGTTTCCTGGTTCCTGTGTCCTGAAGAATTTCCACTAACATGGGAACCAAGATTTCTTTGGAATGTGAACACCTCTGAGAAGGACCTGGGAAACCACTGAATCCTGGGTTCCATAGAATTCTACTGCTTCCAGCTTTGAGGGTTACAAACAACAGGGTAGTGTGAACTTGAGCAAGTGTAAGGACTGCCCCATGTAGATTCAGAAATTCTCCTGTTAAAACAGAGACAAGGGTATTTGTTCTTTGACATGCTGGAAGTTAGTGCTCATTGGTACACCAGTTGTTAATGTACCCTCTGAGTTCATTGTTAGCCTTTTTCATATCTTTTCCTGTATGAAAAGATTTCTTGGTGGGAGGGAGGATTTAGGAAGAGTTCTGCCTGCTTCCATCAGCTGTAGTGAGGAAGTTCCCTTAGAGGAGAAAGGAGCAAAGGGAATGAAAAGACTCAGGCGAAGATCGTCTCTGGATGTCTTCAAGGGTATTGGGTAGAAATTTGGGGCATATAAGTTTCATCTAGCACTCAAGGGTCTAGGACTTCCAGTGGTTCCTATAGATAAGAACATTAATTTTGAGGAAACTAGAAGTAATTGGACAGAAGAAATGTATGCAAATGCACATGTTTGTATATGTGAATGTGTATATGTGTGTGTGTGCACACGCATGCGTATATGTGTGTGTGTGTGTGCACGCGCACAAGCAAGGAACTTAGGTACTGAGAAAACTCTGTGAAGAAGACAATATTAGTTACAGCACACTGAGCACATACTGTGTTTAAGGCACTGTGTTGTGCATGGGCTTTTGCAGTATCATCTAATCTGTTTCTTAAGTACAGTAACCACCAGACAAGCACTATGTTGACTCCTTTTATAGATGGAAAACTTGATGTTTCAAAAAGAGAAGTAGCCTGTTCAAGGTCGAAGAACAAGGAAGTGGCAAAGCCAAGATTCAAACTGAGGTTTTTATGACTTTGGAACTTGAGCTCTTCCCCACGTTGTCTGTCACTAGCCACACACACACACACACACACACACACACACACACACACACACACACACCATATACATATATTACTAGTGTTAAAATGCTGTGTTCACTTCTGGCTCTTAAAGCTTCAGGTAACTTGGGATGTAATATTTAATGCCCTCCTTTGCAGGGTTTGATAGTCTCCTAATGAATGTTATGGGAAAAACGTAATCGAAGGCTTTTTATTGTGATTTTTGCAGTGACTCGTGGAGAAAATAGTAATGTGGCCTATGTAAGAGAGCGAAAAATGTATTTACAATAATACTACCAAAATGATACAGACCTTGCATTTTAATATCTTAAAGAAGCCCCATTTTTTAGATTTATAGACTTGTAAGGGATTGTGTATATTTTATGCAATAGTCTATAAGCACTCTGGCATCTTATTTTATAACCTTATTAGCAAGCAGTATTATCTCTTAAAGGTGTTTTTAAATGGGCCTTCCATGGTGAATCTACACTAGGAGTCAAAAGAAAGTTCCAGGGCTAAGAGTGTAGTACAGGATAGAGGGCTTGCTTAGCTCATGCAGGTGCATGGTCTAGGTTCTAATCTCTAGCACCTCCAGAGTTCCCAGATCACTGTGTCACACCCTGGAAGCACTTCTTATGTACGTTGATGTGGCACTAGGCTGTCAAGACTATTGGTAGTATTATGCCCTGCACTCTCAGGATCCCTTTTCTTATTTTGATTCCAGATGATTTATATATGGTTCAGATCATTGCCCTTTTAACTTGTCTTCCACCCCTCCACTAACTGAAACCTGCCCTACCCACTTCCATCCAGATATGTGAATTATTTCTTCGGTTGCCTACCTGCAGGCTTCAACTGTGCCCATTGAATCCTGTCAAGGTGACTGCTTTTGTTTTTTTCGTAACTTTCTCCCATCTGGACTGCTCTGTCCCTTCCCTCTAAACACAGGTTTGACTCAGGATACCCATTGTTTCCAGCTGTAATTCCACACTCTGGGTCCATCATCTACAAATCTTAACGTGTTCTTTTTCTTCCTCAGAATCTAAATTATTTTATAGCACAATTATTTATGATTCTAACACATTTTTTTAAAATTTTTAAAATTTTAATTTTAAATAGCTTGTTTTACATGTCAATCCCAGTTCCCTCTTCCCCCTCCTCCCGCAACCCCCCATCCCTCCCCCAGCCTCCCACCCTATTACTAATATTAATGACTATTGATTGATGATTCTTGTTTGTGCTTGATTTATTGATAGTGAAGTTATTTTGTGTAGTTTCTCCTCCCTTTTTCTTTCGGTGTTTTGTAAAGTGGGATTATATATTGCTTGTGTCTTTGTGAGCGTAGTTATCTTCCTTGGATCTAGGTTTTCCTTCTAGCACTGTCTGTAGATCTGGATTCATGGATACTTATTGTTTAAATCTGGCTTTGTCATGGAATATTTTGTTTTCTCCATCTATGGTAATTGCAAGCTTTGCTGTATATAGTAGTCTGGGCTGGCATCCTTGTTCCCTTAGCTTTTGTAGGACATCTATCCAGGATCTTCTGGCTTTCATTGTTTCCATTGAGAAGACAGGTGTAATTTGGATAGGTCTGCCTTTATATGTTACTTGGCCTTTTTCTTTAGCTGCTCTTAATATTTTCTCTTTATTCTGTAGGTTTGATGTTTTGATTATTATATGGCGAGGTGACTTCTTTTTCTGGTCCAGCCTCTTTGGTGTTCTGTAAGATTCTTGTATTTTCATAGGCATGTCCTTCTTTAGGTTAGGGAAGATTTCTTCTATGATTTTGTTGAATATGTTTTCTGTACCTTTGAGTTGTATTTCTTCACCTTCTTCTATACCTATTATTCTCAGGTTTGGCTTCTTCCCGGTGTCCCATATTTCCTGGATATTTTGTGTTAGGGATTTGTTGGTTTTGAGATTTCCTTTGGTTGACGACTCTATATCCTCTAATGAGTCTTCAACACCTGAGATTCTCTCTTCTCTCTCTTGTATTCTATTGGTGATACTTGCATCTGTAGTTCCTGATCATTTACCCAGCTTTTCTATTTCCAGCATCCCCTCGTTCTGTGTTTTTCTATTTCAGCTTTCAATCCTTCAACTGTTTGAGTTGTTTCCTTCATTTGTTTGGTTGTTTTTTCTTGGTGCTCTTTAGATTCTTTGAGAGATTTGTTTATTTCTTGAAATTTTCCCCTATTTCATGGATTTTTTGTTTGCTTTTTCTTCTATTTCTTTAAGGGATTTCCTCGTTTCTTCTTTGAGGGTCTCTATCATCTTCATAAAATAATTTTTAAGGTCTATCTCCTCTGCTTCGTCTATGTAGTGCTTTTCAGGTCTTGCTGGTGTTGGTTCCCTAGATTCTGGTGGAGTCTTGCTGGTCTTTCTATTGCTGAGTGAGCTCTTATTCTGTCTTCTTCCCATCTCTTCTTCCAGTCGGTGCTGGTGGGGTCTTTCCGTCTCCACTGGTCTCCTTCCTTCCTGAAGCTGAAGCTGCGGATGCTGACACTGCAGCTTAAGCTGAAGCTGGGGTTGCCAGAGTTTGGGGCCTGAAAGGGCTGATGTGTTTCTTGTGTGGTCGGGTCTTCTGGATGCCAGGAGCGGCCCCGGAAGATCGAGGGGATGGGTGTTGGGCAGGGGATGGGGAGTGTCCCCGCTGGAGAACCAATCTCACCTGAAGCTGGGCTCCCCGGAGTTTGGGGGCTGGAAGGGCTGATGTCTTTCCTGTGTGGGTGGGTCTTCTGGATGCCAGGAGTGGCCCCGGAAGCTAGAGGGGATGGGTGTTGGGCAGGGGATGGGGAGTGTCTCCCCGGAGACCCAATCTCACCTGAAGCTGGGCTTACCGGAGTTTCGATTCTAACACATTTTAATAAATCTTATGTTCTGATCTTTGTATACTTGTGGCTACCACTGACGTTTATGCCCTCCGTCTCCCACAGTCCCTTCATTGATGTTCTGGGAACCCTCTACTTTCTGTTGAAACATCCCGCACTGTTCTCATTGATTGTTGTATTAGCTTCCCATTGCTGTGACAAAAATACCCAAGGGAAAGGAAGATAAGTTCATTTTGGCAGATGGTTTCAGTCCGTGGTCACTTGAGATTCAAGGTGTCTTTGACAAAAAGCCTGAGCATTTGACTCTTATTGTATGCTATGCTGTAGAGACAGTAGAAGTGAGGTTTGCCTAAGGACAAGAATGAGAAAGCTGGGGACAGAGAATGAGATGAAAGGCTTGGGAGCCAAAGAGAATGAGGGACAAATGGACAGCTTGAGTGTTGTTCCAGGCTTGGGGGTTTGGGGGTTTGACTATCTTTTAACACATTTCATCCTGGAGATGGTCCCTTCACAAATTTAATCATCCCAACATTACCTTTGCCTCCTTCCCTACTGTACTCTATTGGTCACTGTTGTAATTTAAGAAAAGTAGCACGTGTGAGAAAGATGCAGTGTGACAAGTTTCAAGCAGAGGGTTTTATTTTATTTATTTTTGTATTAAGGAAAGGAATCATAAAAAGGGGAAAGGAAAGAAAGGGAGAGAGGAAAGGGGGGAGAAAGGAAGACAGATGGAGAGAGAGAAGGATGGGAGCTTAGTGAATATGCATAGGTGGTGCTTTTAGTGTCTGCAGCTGAGGGCGTATCCTGTCAGAACCCCAAGGACAAGCCAGTACAGATGCCTGAACACTAATAGTCACTGCTTTCCCTCCACAGTCACTCCACGTAGACTGAAGTATTTTAGCAGGCACGCTTCACAAGAAGGGTGTAGTTTTTTGGCAATGTCGGGACAGATAAGACTTGCTCCTTTCATCTGCTCAGCTGAGCCAGAGCACCTACTAGATGCGGATGTTGTGAGACTTGGAACATACTCATCACTAAACAACATCCTTGCCATTGAAAACTTGGTAAAGGAAATACTAAATGAAAAAGTGAGTGATGGGCTCGTGGGATGACTTGGCAGGCAAAGGTGCTTGCCACCAAGCCTGATGACTTGAGTTCAATATCTGGGATTGGTATGGTGAAAGGAGAGAGTTGACTCACTCAAGTTGTCCTCTGACTTTCAAATATGTGCAGACATAGCAATTATATTTAAAGTAAGTAATACGTTCTTTAAAGGGAAATACAATGAGCAGTGTATATTAAAGATACAGCACTAGGGACAGGAGGGAAGAACTCACATGGAGAATGAGATTCTGTAGGATGACTGACCAAGAAAGGAGGAGTTGGCAGAGCTGGGGAAACAAACTGGTAGTCTTCCACAATGAAACAGAAGACTGGCATAATTTAGGGGGCAGAATATTAGGAAGGGGAGTTTTTCATATCTTTGGGATCAAGAATTATGTGAAAGTGTTGATAGTAACTTTGAGGTGAGGTTGAGCCCTGAAAAGGTTTGACTTGTCCTCAAAACAAAGTGGCTCTGAAGAAAACACTTAAAACTGAGTGTACAGTGATTTATCCTTTGTTATTCCATGATGAATGTACTGCAGCGTTTGATAGAAATGTCTTCAGGCTGTAGAAAGACAACAAGTTAACTGTAGACAGCAATGATGTAAAAATTTAATCATAGGCAGCTGCAAAGAACCATAGCAATAAAATAACCTATGCAAACAGACAATGTAAAACAGACACATTAAAGTAACAATGATGTGACTGGCAGGTGACTTCAGGAGGAAGGATGGCAATCAGAAGGCAATGGAAGGTTAAAAATGCTGAGATTACAAGCCTGTAATCTTGGGGGTATGAGGCAGGAGGATTGCAAGTTCCAGGATTACCTAGACTATTGAGTGAGTTCACAGGTAGTGTGGGTAACATGGTGAGACTATCTAAAAAAAAAAAACCAAGGGGAACATGTGGAGATGACTCTTGGAGACTGCTTCCTGCACAAGCATAAGGACCTGAGTTCAAATCACCAGAACCCATGTGAAAATCTGAATGCAGTAGTGTGTGGTCATAATCCCAGAACTGGGAATGGAAGCAGGAGGTTCCCTGGGGTCTTCTGGCTAGCCAGTGTAGTCAAATTTGCAACTTCCAGGTTCAATGAGAGACCCTGTCCTGTGCAATAAGACAGCAGTTGTAGGTGATAGTATAGTTACTGTCCAGTCAGCTGGCCTGTTGCAGTGTACTCAACAAACTTTTCTATTAAAAAATAAAGTGGAGAATTATTGAAAAAGACACCAAGTTACTTCTACACACATGTGCATAGGTATACATAGAATTAACCATGCATATACATGTGAACATAGACACTAAAACTACACAAAGGGGTGGGGATATAGTTAAATGGCCATATGCTTACTAGCTTGCATAAGGACCTTGGGTTCAATTCCCAGTGAGTACCTCCTGAAGAAACACTCCAAAGTATGGAAAGTAAAGAGCTTTTTTAATGCTAAGGATACATACAATGTAAGAATTGTTTTAAAAGATTCCCTTATTTTGATTTTGTATATTCATTACATACTTGCCTGAGGAAGTCAGAAGAAGATGCCAGATCCTCTGGTACTCAGGATCTGGAGTTATGGATAGTTGTAAGCCACCATGTGGGAGTTGGAGACCAAACTCACGTCCTCTGGAAGGGCAGAAAATGTTCTTAATTTCTGGGCCACTGCTCCAGTCCCATTCTTTACTCATTAGAAATGTCATTCAGAGTTTCCAGCTCTGTCTCATAATCCTACTCTCCCAGAAGGTTGAGGCAGGATAATCTCAAATGGAAAATTCTGCCTTGAAAAGTAACATCTTTCTGGAAATGAAGATGAGATAACCCAGGAGAACCAAAGGGGATCTGCACTGAAATAAATTGTGATGATTCTTTAGGAAGAAGGAAAACCAAGACAGAAACATGCAAATCAGGAGGTCATGAAAAGCAAATAGGTTCACTTCTCCTCTGAGTGATCAAACACTTGACAGGGCTGCCTCTTCCCCTTATCATTTGTGCCCCAGCTCCTAGGTTATTCAGCAACCCTCTCTGACCTTCCAGCCAGTTCACTTTCATCTCGTTGCAATGCTGAAAAATTGTGTCATAGCACAAGCCACCATGTAACCTACTGCTGTGGAATAAGCCTCCGGTGAATATGTTATCACTCGCAATGGTTAATAATGAAGCCGGCTCTCCAATAGCTGAACAGGATAAAGTTAGGGGGGAGAGCTGAGCTGAGAATGATGGGAAGAAGAAGGGCTGAGTCAGAGGAGCCATCAGCCATGAGCCACATGGCAAAGCATAGAAAAGAAATAATAGATTAATTTAAATGTAAGGGCTAGTAAGAAGCCCGAGCTATTGGCTGAGCATTTACAATTAATATGAAGTTTCTGAGTAATTATTTGGGAGTTGTCATGACGCAGGAAAACTCCACTTATAACCCTTTATTTTTGGTCCTTTTCTTTGGCTCTATTCCCCAGTAGCATACAAGGTTGTGAACTCCATGAGAGTTGGGATGTTGTTAGCCCTGTGCTCTGTTGGCCAGAATAATAGCTTTCACACTGTGGGTGTTTGGTGGCATATTATTGCAATGATAGATCCTTTGGTTTGCTCCTTTGGCTCTGTGGATCAGACCCAGAGCATTTATGGCGGCAAATGTTCTACCACGTAGCTACACCCCCAGTTTGCACTGAGTTCTTGATTAGGCTTTGTGCAGCTTGACCTCTAGGCCAAGACTCATGAGTTCTCCCTATCTGCTTCTATCTTCTATAGAAAGGAGATGGTAGGGTTGAATGTGAAGTGGGACCACAGAAAGAGTATGTTGCAATTTTAGGGAGATGTTTAAATGGTGGAAGGATTAAGTCATCACTTCAGAGATGAAGCAAATTACCTTGGTCTTGTAGACTGACATGAGAAGTAGCAGTGTGTGTGTGTGTGTGGGGGGGGTGTCCTTAGATGCCTGGTCTTCAATCTGTGAAGGGTGGAGAACCTTGGCTTCTGAAGATACTATTTTACCCAGGCAACCACCCTGCCTTGTGACATCACACAGAGAAAACCTTTATGCAGGCAGAGTAGGCAGCAGCCTTTAGGGAGCATCTGCATTCAGGTGTATTCTCCTTGGAGGAGACTGGAGGATTTTTCTTTTAAAAAAAGATTTAGTTTTTTATTATGTAAACAGTGCTTGTCTGTCTGCAGGCCAGAAAAGGGCATCAGATCTCATTACAGATGGTTGCCTGAATCATTCAAATCCTGTGTCCTGAGTGTATGATGTCTTCAGCAATAAATAAGGACTGACAAGGGAATTTAGGGCAGGAACCTGGAGGCAGAAATTGGGCCAGATGCCATAGAGGAACGTTCCTTATTTACTTTCTTCCTCATGGCTTGTTCAGCCTGCTTTCTTTCTCAGCCTTTATCAAAGAAGCTTATGCAGGCAAGGGTTAATACAGAGACTCATAACTGGTCAACATACTGAGAATAAGTGATGGTGGAGTGCTTAGTCCTAAATGGACCATCTATATCACTTCCTCCAAGGCTCCGGAAGCATCAGAGAAGATGGATAGAAAGAATGTAAAAGCTTGAGGATGGGGAGGTATGTTGTAAAAGGATGTTTTTCTGAACAAAACATTCACAGCATATACGGTTATCAGTACAGGACCTGCATACAATTGGATTTGAAGCCCACTCAACAGGAAGGAAAACATGTCTGGTACTAGTACTAGCCAACTACCTGGATTTAATGAGGTCATTTGTCTTAGATGTGCTACTGCCATTTTGCTAGGTTAGGATAATTCCTAATTATATTCTATATATTAGCTTTGTACCCATAGATAATTATAGTTATCCCCTCTCACCAAAGGAGATTTTCTTTACAGCAAATAGAGACCATTCATTACAGAGAAACCACAACTGGACACTGGACACACTGCAGAGATAAATGGATGGTGAGTATTCCAGTTCCAGTAGATATATCTATACCACAGTCCCTGCGTCTATGGCTCAGGAAACATCGCAGAAGGGCAGAGAACTTGTAAGAAGCAGAATACCAAGAAGTCTGCTGTGAGATCATCTTTCCTAGAAATGGCGTTATCAATATACACACCAACAAGGAAGAGAAAAAAAATCTCCCAAGATCCTGTCCCCAGACAAAGAGCTGTAGGCAGCTAATGACTGCTGAGAGAAGGAGAATTAGCTAGGGATGTGCCCCTTAATTGTTTATCTGATGAAGTTAGCACAGCTCCAGGGACAAACCTGATTTGGATCAGTGAGGGAATGAAGACAGCAGATACAATGGACGTGCAGAAAAGCTGGTATTAGGTGGTCTGGGCTTGAACTGAGTGGTGAACTTACTAATGCATACAGCTGAACAGGAAGGAGATAGGACTATTTTATACAGTTAAGGAGGCAGGGTTTGTATTATGTGGATGAATCAAGGAGACAAATGTTTCTGATTTTGGTAGGTGAAGTCTCTGGAGGGGAGCAGTCTTCAGGTCATAACTATCCGGGTGAAGAAAGCTGGTGGACATTTTCTGCATATACAGTCAACATCCACACTTGGACCAGAGGAAGGCTTTGCCATGTTCCTGAGCCTTACCCTTCTGGGACGGGGTTGCAGGTCGGGAGGACTGTCATTTATCAATCTGTCTGAGGCTCTGAGGTTTGAATGGCTGTGCCCATGTCAATAACATACATTCATTCACTCAGGACTTCTCTTCCTACAGTTATCTAATACAATGTGGTTAGCCCCACAGTTTAATCATAAACACAGCAAAACAGACTCAACATGTTATATTTTGGTCTCTCGCTCTCTGTATCTATCTATCTATCTATCTATCTATCTATCTATCTATCTATCTATCTATCATCTATCTATCTATCTATCTATCTATCTATCTATCTATCTATATCAACTATTTATTTTTATCTATTTATCGTTATGCCTAGTTCGTAAGACCCCCCAAAAGACCTCCAAGGAGCCGGCTCACTACTACAAGCCAGGGCAGAGACCTGGTCCAGAAAACTGACATAGCAGCTGCGGGAGGAGCATTTGGCCTCTGTCATAAGGGGTTTTTTAAGGGGAAAAAATCCCAAGACTAAAAGCCACAAGATTACAAAGTTTCCATGGTTACTTAAGGGCATTATACAAAGTACAAAGTAAAACAATAACCATACATTTGAGCAGCATGAGGCAGGGACATGGGGTGAAGAGTTTGCCAATTCTTCTGTGGGCCGTGGGATTTTTCAACCAGAAGTTAGTGGTTACCTGGTTTTCTTCAGAACAAAGGAATGTTGATATAGCTTGTGGTGAACTCCCTTTTTCCAAGAACTGGACTCAGGTCCCTAGTCATGTAAATTCTTTCTTCCAGTTCTCTTTCTTTTTGTGTTAGCTCAGGGGTCCAAGATTTTTAGACTTCTATTAACTTTTGGCCTCTCATCTCATTTATCTTCTATCTATACGTGTGTATAACATGTATGTACATTATATATATATATAATACTAATACATTATATGTAAAGATAAAGAAAATATCAGTTTGAGGGTGGGGGACATGGAGGAGCTGGAGGGAAGAAAGGGAAGGGGGAAGTGATGTATATTAAAATAAGTTTTAAAAGAGTTGGCAGAATTATGTTTAAGGTAAATTATATAATTGTACATTTATGTATGGTATATTTGTATATATATCATGTATATATATTTGTAATTATATGAATTTGTGAAAGAATAGATTTTAAAAAGTGTTTAGAATCCAGACCGTTTTTTTTTCAGAAATGGAGCCTTGTCTGTTGTCTAATGTTTTCTTGTGATTTGCTTGTTTTGAGACAAAGTTTCATGTAGCTCAGGCAAGCCTTGAGCATTCTAACTTGATACATAACTAAGGATGACCTAAAACTGCTGAACCTTCTACCTCTACCTCTTTTTTTTTTATGAGATAGGGTTTCTTTGTATTGATTTGGAGGCTGTCGGTCCAGCCAGGCCTGGAAATCACAGGGATCCGCCTCCCTCTGCCTCCTGAGTGCTGGGATTAAAGGCGTGCGCCACCACCGCCGGGCAAGTCCACCTCTACCTCTTAAATGCTGGGATTACACATGTGTGACACTGCAGATAGCATCTGTCACTTTCTTCTGATTTATCACACTGAATCAAGATTCTTGCCCTCCTCCTCCCTAATCTGCATTCTCCATGATGGCAGAAACCTGATCTCATTCCTGTTTGCCTTACTATATAGAGGACACCTGGCTCATTTAGTCAGTCTCCTTGACTCCTTTGGTTCCCAGAAGGAATTCCAGGGCAGCAAGGTAAGCTGACCTCACACTAGGGGTTCTAAATCAGAACCCAAACATTCCTCGGGAGGCAGAGCATCTCACTGCTCCAATTGCTGGGCTGTTTAGAGAAGTATTTCTTTCTTATGTATGAAAAAGAACTGGTAGTGTTAGAACGATGAACAAGGTTCAGAGTTCTTCCACATTTTTATTTTGGTTTTTGTTGGAATGCCTGCTTCATGTCTGCTGGCTTAATGCAGATGATGTTCCTCCTGCTGAGAAGACAGCAGGCTCACCAGGTAGCTTCAGCAATGACCTTTCTTGTTTCAGGGGGACTAAAGACTGGTTTCCAGGGAAATAAAGAGAAGTTAGTTACATTTCACTGCTACAAGTTTTCTTTTCAAGGGAGTAGACAGTTACAAACAACTAAAACTCCTATGGAACAACCCAGAGATGCCCTTAAAATATTTCGAGGAACAGCTGGAACCTCAGGACCAGCAAGTAAGTCCTTGCATTGCTTATTGAGGTGATGCTCAGAGCTGGGTGTATGGTGTGTGTGTGGTGTGTGGTATGGTGTGGTGTCTGTGTGTGTGTAGTATATATGTATGCGTGTATGTAGTGTGTATATGTGGTGTATTGTGTGTGTAGTATGTGCAGTGTGTGTGTGTGTGTGTATGTGTGGTGTATGTGTGTGTGCCTGTGTGTGTGGTGTGGTGTGTGTATAAATATATGGTGTGTGTGTATGTGCAAGTATGGTGTATGTGTGTACACATGCGTGTATATGTGTGTGTGGTGTGTGTATATGGTGTATGTGTGTATGTGTATGTGGTATATGTGTGTATGGTATGTAAGTGTGTTGTGTGTGTGAATACCCCTTGAGTATTTGCTAGTAGTGATGTCCAGAGAAGTGCTAGAACTACTGTGCCATTTGTCTCCTGGGCTGTGGTTTTTAATTTAAGAACAAAAAGTATGGCTCTGGGTTTGGTCCTCCACTCTGGAAAAAAAATAACAAAAAACAGTCATCTTTGTAGATTTAAATTTGTGGGTTTTTTTTTGGTTTTTCAAGACAGGGTTTTTCTGTATTGTTTTGGAGACTGTCCTGGAACTTGCTCTGTAGACCAGGCTGGCCTCGACCTCACAGAGATCCACCTGCCTCTGCCTCCCGAGTGCTGGGATTAAAGGCGTGCGCCACCAACGCCAGGCTTGTGTTTATTATGAAAGTTTCATACATTTATACAATTATCTTGACCACACTCACTCCTCCCCTGTCTGTCGCTCCTCCTCTGTACAGTACTCTCATTACACTCCCTCCCGCAAGCTTCATGTCTTCCTATTATAATTTTATTTAATTTTTCCAACCCTCTGAGTTCAGTTAGTGCTCGTTGGTATCGGGAACCTAACATGGGCCACAATCATGAAGCGATTATCCATCCCTTAACAAACATCAACGTCCAATAAAATCCTCAGCTGGGCTGGGGCCTTGGAAGCCATTCTTCCTCTGATTGGAAGTTTTAACTAACTTGTGTGCAGATTAATCACAGCTGCTGTGAGCTTGTTTGTGCAACAGCCATGTCCAGAGGATAGCATTTCACAACATGCCTCTTGTCTTCTGCCTTTCCTCTCCCCAGAATTCTGTAAGCCTGTGTGTGTGTGTGTGTGTATGCATGTGTGTGTATGTGTATGAGTGCGTGTGCATGTGTGTGTTAATAACAGGCACCCCAAATAGAACTGAGTGCCTACAGGTATTATTCCTATCAGTTTGAACAGTCGTACATCTGTGTGTTAACCACTACTTACTGCATCAAGAAGCGTGTTTGACTTAGGTTGGGGACAGCACAAACATACGGATATAATGTAAAGTCAGGACTGGAGAGATGGGTCAGTGGTTAAGAGTGCAAGCTGCTCCTCAGAGGACCCAGGTTTGATCCCCAGCACCCACATGATGACTCATAACTGTCTGTAACATCAGTTCCAGGGCACCTCTTCTGGACTCCTTGGGCGCCAGACATGAATGTGGCATATCTATCTTGTGTCACTGTTGTACCAGTGGATAGATCATGGGAGATCAGTATTGTAGCACACAAGGTCCAGTGCTGGGTGTCTTTCCTCCCCCATCACTGTACATAGCCTCTTCCTGCACTTTGAAAGCTAGCCCGCAGGGTTCAGTTCAAAGTTAATAAGAAATCATTTGGCCAGACTTTGTGGTTCACACTTTAAGACCCAGCCTTCAGGAGGCACGGGCAGGTGGATCTCTCTTCAGTTCTTGGCTCTCTAGGGATAATTAGTGCCACTCTTTCTAAAAAACAGAAACAAAACCAAGCAATAATAACTATGACAAAAAATAAGAAATGATATATCTTAAAACAGTGGAACCTAGCCTGATGAAATTCCACTTCTATACAAGGGAAAGGCTCTGTCAATGTCATCTGTGTCCAAAGAAAGGCCATTACTGATGGCTTCAGTGGTCCCAGGTTTCTGTCTTTGTGATAAAGTACAATAGCTTTCAACTCTGTCTTTTCAAGCCCTTAGTCTTGGAGGGAGTTTCTCAGGTCCCATGACTGCAAAACTAAGGTGTTATGTTTTGGAATCCCACAGTCACGAAATAAAGCAGCGGATACAAATAAGATACCATGCTTTAGCAAACTATCTTATATATCTGCTAGATACTGGCTTCGATTTATTAACATTTATATTTTTAGCTATCTGGAAACCCTGTGTTTCCTTTGTCTATTACCAAGTTATCTCTCCGAATTATCTGTCTTAAACCAGTGTCTTCTCTTGGGTCCCCTTCAATGGCCTTCTAGCTAGACCAACTCTGAAGATCCTAGAATCCTGGACCAAAAAAGGTGAGTCGAGGGAATTGGAGTGCAGGTGGGTGTGATGTAGGGCTCTGGGGGGTGCCAGCATGTGTGATCACCAGTCTAGTCAGGACCTTGGTGCAAAGTAGATAAGTCACTCCCTTTGAATAGTCCTATGTGTGATGGTGCCACCTAGTGTTCACCAGGGATCTGCAGAGAGGCTATAGCCCACAAGCACAGGCTGAGTATGAACTCCAGATCCCTTTGGGTGATACAGAATATGCCACCAGCCCTCACAGCCCCAGTGCGGACATTCTGGAAGCTTCTTTGCTCTTGGAGCTTTCCCAAGACCACTTGCCGCAGAGTCCTCTTTAGATTTGCCTTGCTGTCCTTCCTACCTTAGAGGTTCCTTCTGGGCCTTTTCACACCGGTTAAATAACTGCCTGCCAGGAGCCGACCCCTTGTTTTGTATTTTTATAGTTATAAGTTTTAATTTTTGAGAATTCCATACATGAGCATTGTATTTACATCATTTCCATCTTCCTCCTCTCCAATTCCTCTAGTGCTCCCCTGTCACTCCCTATAAAATTCACTTCTTTTGAAATTATTATTGTTCACACACACACACACACAGAGGACTGAGTTCATTTAGTGCTTTTCATATGCACATTTGCCTAAGGCTGACCACTTGAGATTGGATAACCATTAAGGAGACTGGTCCCTGGAAAATTCGGATTCTGCCTATCTCCATAGCTGTTGATTGCGTGTAGCTGTACATCTATGGGCTGGGATTTGTGAAATGTCTCCAGTCCAGGTTGGTATGTCAACTGGTATTGTTTAGGCAGCCATATAGTTGAGACTTCATGGCTACAGCTTCCCTGTAATGTCTAGAAGACACTATTTCCCAGCAGCATCCTGGTTCTTTGTCTCTATTTTTCTGCCCCATATTCCAAGATATTCACTGAGTCTTATGTGTAGGTGTTGCATCGTATATGTACCAGTTGGGGTTGAACACCCGATAGTCACCTAACATTTGCATTATAAATAGTTTTGGGTCTCTGTAATAGTTTTCATCTACTGCAAAAAGAAGCATTCATAGGAGAGGGATGAGATCTACACTTAGACTCATCCACATTGTTTTATAATCTACCTGGGATTTGGTTGAATCAGGTATTTGGGGATTCAGACATGGAAAAGAGACAATGCAAGAAACAATGCTAATCTCAAAGATAGATCATTATGGAATCAAATATGAGTATCCATAGTCGGGGAACTCAGGTTATCTCAAATTCCATGTTCCAGTGTGATAACAGTCTCGTGAACTTTTTATATTCCTAGAACAAGGATGATCAAGACACTTTTTAAATACATTGAGGCTACAGGCCTCAGATGATGTCTGCTGGCAGCATTCTTTTCCTCGTGGTTGGTGGAAACTAGGGGTTTGCCTGTTTGTTCATTTCAAAGATATACCTAATGGTCAGAAAGATATCAAGTCATGCCAGAGAAGGACAATAATGGCTATTTTAGGGGTAGAGATGGTCCAACATAATCTGGCTGTGACTTTGTAACATTCCAACTTCTCCCCATCATAAAAGTTATCAACTGGCCTTTGTCATTGTGGCTACTTTTCAGGAATTCTTGTTCAGCTTGATGAAGGAAGATTTTTTTCGCTCACAAATGCCAAGCAGGAGGGTCACTTAATGGAATGTGGAAGGTGGATCAAGAGGAAGAGAGGGAATAAGGACATGTGGACAAAAAAGACTCTATTTTTATTTTCACAAGCAAAGCTTAGGCTAGAGAAGAGGCCTTTCAGTAGTAGTTTGAATAATTTCAGTTGGCTCAATGGCTGTTCCTAGTTTGTCTGATACTGGGCCCTGGAGTGATGAGAGCAACTGACCAGCAGTCTGCAAGCTAACTACTTGCAAAGGAAGTCATTTGAGGTGGGGGGTTGCTCACTGGCTTTGAGTCGGTCTGATTGCATGCGAAAAGTGATCTCTACCATCTTTAGGAGTTAACTGATTGGGTCTGGTAGTGTATGAAGGGTCAGAAAGGCCCTCAAATGTCCAAGTATCAAAATACAGAAAATAATACAATGAATACACCCATCAGTCCCAAATGCAGCACTAATCTTAAAGCATGGATACAACTACATCACTTGCTTGTTCTTAACTACCATCAGAGCACAAAGGTTGGGTTAGTATCTGGGCATGAGAAGGCTTGTGTTCTCATCTCAACTTTGACACCAACCTGTATTTTCAGTTAGTGCTAGTGGTTTGCTGAGCCACGAGCTTCAGCTCTCAGCTATAGGTCCAATAGCTAGAGGAAAGAAGTAGGTGCCCAATGTTCTCCTGGAACTCTTGGCTCTTGTTTATATGGACAGATGTATGACTTACACATAATGGGGGAAATGTGTTGAAACAATGATCAAATTTCTCAGCTTTGAGGTTGAAAGTGGGTAGAATGTTTCAGAACTGTGCTTATATGTTCTGGGGTTTGGACCTAGGGTCTCATACATGTTGGACCATGTATTCTACCACTAAGTTTTGTACTCAGCTCTATCGTTACTATTTTAAGATAGTATCAGTAACTCGGGGTATAGGCGAAGGAGGTACTATTCCCCACTTTCCTTCATCAGCCTGTGGAGTTGCCCTAGAATTTTAGGGACTCTGCCTCAGTTCACATCAGTATTTGTACTTTTGGTGCTGAACACATCCACGAGCATTCTAGTGGTAGCCCATTCAGTCAAGGGAGTTGATTTTATTAAAGGTATTTTATGATTGGTCCAGGAGAAAGAAAGGAGCTCAGAAGAGAGACATACCCAAGTCTGGGTAGAGATTCCTCGAGGGAGAGTTTTGACATTAGTCATACGTAGGGTTTTGGTAGCATTGGAAATTGCTGTCTTATCACTGTATGGTTTCTGAGGGAGACCTGACAAGATTACTGTTGAGAAGGTAAGAACCAAGGCCACAGGGATACAGGAAGGTAGGAAATCTTTACTGTAAACCAAGTTCTCCAGGGTCTAGGGAAGGAATGCGGGTCCTTCCAAAGGTCATATACATCCAGGCTGTAAGCCTAGGTCATTGCTATTTTAACAGGAAATATGTATACATAAAAGGAATGTTGATGCTTGGTTGACAGCTTTCATAAAAGCATAAATTGTACTGGAGTGCTTACTTCTCAGCTGGCCACGGCCTTTACTCAGACTACAGAGTGAGAGCACCCTTTCCCTTTCATGTCCCACAATTTTCCTGTTTTTCTATCCAGCCCCAATAGGGTTTCACTCACTAAGTTGTCCAAGCTGGTCTTGAACTTAATTCCATGATCCACTGCTGGCCTTGACTTGCAACCCTGTTGCCTCACCCTCCTGGCGTTATTGCCAAAATCTTGTTTGGAAACTGGTAACGATTATAACTTCTACAGAAGGTGATTCTTGGAAGATGGCTCTGTGGAGCAAGGTGCTTGCTGCCAAGTCTGACTCTCTGAGTTTGGTTCCCTGGACCCACATGGTGGAAGGAAAGAGTGGGCTCCCTGTAGTCGACCTCTGACTTCCACATGAATTGCGTGGAGTGCAAAAAGCCACACACATGCACACAAGGTAATAAGTGTATGAGACAAAAAGTTGCTTTGAAAGTATACAAGCAACGTCAATAGATGTGGAGACGGAAGAAGTGAGGAGACAGGTTCAAGGGAAAGGATCGATCTGAGACGAACTGCCCTGCAGGGTAAGAGGTGTATTAGGTGAATGTCTTAGTTACTGTCCTATTGCTGTGAGGACCAAAGTACAAGGACCAAAGTAACTTATGAGAACATTTAATTGTGGGTTTCCTTACACTTTTGGAGAATTAGTCCATTGTCCTCATGGCTTGGAGTGTGGCTGCAGGAAGGCTGGCATGGTGCTGGAGCTCACATCTAATCTACAAATTGCAGGCAGAGACAGGGAGGCCAGACCTTGTGGGGCTTTGGAAACCTCAAAATCCACCCCCCAGTAACATATCTACCCCAACATGTCCACACTTTCAAATCTGTCCTACATACTCCATCAGTTAGGGACCAAGCATTCAAATGGATGAGGCTATGGGGGACCGTTCACACTGAGACTACCACAGTGAGTTATTCGTGCCACACGGTGTGTGGTGCAGTTCTGAAGACTTCTGTTCCACCAGATAAAGCATAATTCTCCCTCTTAAAAGTTTCCATGGTATGATACTTGCATGTTATCAGGCTGCCTTAAATTCTTCGTGCAGCAGAGGGAATGAACAGAGACTAAAGGCTTACTGTTGATGTGCCAGCTGCCATGGCAAAGGGAGAGAAACTTCAGTGGGATACTACGGAGGTTCTTATTCTAAAAAATGCTTTAACTTTTTACCCAGAGTGTCAAAATAAGAATAGTGTTTACTTTAAAAAATTATTTTAGTATTTTTTTTCCTGAGGCAAAGTCTGGAACTCACTATGTAGACCAGGCTGACCTGGAACTCACAGTTATACCTGCCTCTGTCTCCCTAGTGCTAGAATTATAAAGACATCTACTACCACACCTGGTTGGGACTTATTATAATGATGGAAGGGAAGGCAGATGAAAGCCTGGTACCTTTACCTCCATTGTGTTTTTATCTTTTACTCTGGGTTAGATTCTTATACATGATAATCTCTAAGGGGCATCTGTCAATCTAACCTGCATCACCCACCTTCTTGGACCAGAGTCGAGAAAATTCTTGGAGGACCACCTCAACTGGGACTACTTAATTGCACATACCCCTGGCTCCAAATTTGCCTTGATTTAAACCTATTGCAGATATTACTACTCCAAAGATGAACTTGGGGGTCACTGGACCCCTTATTTATTCCACTTTCTAATGCATTGACTCTCTGCTTTCCATCATGACTCGTGTCTTTAATATGCATTTTAAATAGCATATTTAAGTGATCAAGACTTACTTGTTGGGGCTGCAGGAGAGGTGGGCTTCTGCAGTTGCAAAGCTACACCTGTTTCTCACCCCCTACTTGTACCAAACATCACATAAGAATTTCCTCAACTCAGCACCTCAAGCTCTTGCCTCTTGTTTCTCAACTCTGCTTTAGTCATTGTCTCTCCACAAGACGACTAAGGCCTCCTTTGCCCATGCTAATGGCCCGTTTTCAGTTATTATTATAACTAAACGATCAGTAGCCCATGATCTTCCCCCCACCCCCGACCTGCAGTGTTTCAAGGTGAACAGTTGAAGGCATACCGGAAGTATGGCAGGACTAGAGTGGACCCCATACACCTCATATCCCATGTGTGTAGTTAGTACTTTCTTTACACTCCTGTCATTTTCATAGGCTTGGTTGACTCTGCTGAGCTTTAAATGTCAGGGCATTGTTTAGTTATATTAGGAGTACTCCCTTCTCTGCTCCAGTGGAGCAACAGGAAGGGAAAAACAGTCAAGTGTGGCACAAAGGGTAGTCACCCCAAGTGGTTAGGCTTTACAGGTGTCTGTACATACTTTATCAATTGCTTTTCTAAAATCTGTACAAAAATCATTCTTTTTATTTTTAAATATCAGGAACATCACAGAATACTGATACACCTGAGACTACAGAGGCCGCTTCTGAGTTTGTGGCACTTTCTGCAGTTCCCAGGTCCAACTCGTGGAATGAAGGTATCTGGGTTCCATCATTAATTGCCCTGTAGTTTCCTTTTATTGCAACATCTTACCCCTTGATACCATAAGCCAGGATGAAACATGGTAGGTGCTGGGTTACTATCAAGGGTTAGTATATCTATGGGCAAGGAGTCAATTTATCTACAGATTACAGTTTGCTATGGGTCAGTAAATCTATAGGTGATAGGTGTTGTTATAGTGACATACATAGTTTAAGAATGAGGGCTTGGCCGGGCGGTGCTGGCACATGCCTTTAATCCCAGCATTCGGGAGGCAGAGGCAGGTGGATCTCTGTGAGTTCGAGACCGAGCCTGGTCTACCGAGGGAGTTCCAGGACAGGCTCCAAAACAATACAGAGAAACCCTGTCTCGAAAAAACAAAAACAAACAAACAAAAAGAAAAGAATGAGGGCTCGAATTGGAGGAGACCACAGGAAGAAAATCTTGGGTTTGGAGAAGTAGAATTGAAAACAAATTAAAATGATTGCATTATTAATGAATTAAAATGTGCTTGTGTGTCTGTGTGTATGGTGCCTGTGGATAGATGGACATCAGAGGACATCTTTCATGACTTGATTCTCTCCTCCACTCTGTAGGGGCATCAAACTCTGGTTTTTAGGTGTGGGGGCAGGTGCTTTTTTACCTGCTGAGCTATCACTTCAGCCTTATAATTGTTTCTGTACATATGGACTCTGCAGTTTTATGTTAACATTTTCTTTTGAGACAGAATCTCACTATGTAGCCTGAGCTGGCTGGGAACTCACAGAGATCCTCTTGACTTTCCCTGCTTAGGTCTGAGATTAAAGGCATGTGCTAGAATGCCTGGCAGTATTTTTTTTGGAAAAAATGATGTTTATTCAAGGAATAAGAAGAAGGAGGAAGAGGAGGTGCAGGAGAAGGAGGGAGAAATGTTCATTCCTTGGGTCTCTTCTCTTCTTTCTCCAGTTTCTTAGAATTCTAAGATTGAATCCTAGATAAGGCTAGGTAGCAAGACAGACCCTCAAGTGAGATCAGTAATAATGAGGGGGTATCTCCTCAATGGAGGTGTTATAGAGAGTATCAGTATCTTGAAGAGTCCTCGTCATACTCTTCTGTTGCTGTGATAAAGTACCATGGCCAAAATCAATTCATAGGGGGAAGAGTTTATTTTGGCTTAAGGCTTCAAAGCAGATTCTGTAATGTCAGGGGAGGCATAACAGTTGACATCCACAGGACAGGAAGCAGAGAGAGAGAGAGAGAGAGAGAGAGAGAGAGAGAGAGAGAGAGAGAGAGAGAGAGAGAGAGAGAGAGAGAGAGAGAGAGAGAGGAGAGAGAGAGAGGAGAGAGAGGGAAGAGAGGGGGGAGAGAGAGGAGAGGTGAGAGAGAGGAGAGAGAGGGGAGATAGGAGAGAGAGGGGGGAGAGAGGGGAGAGAGAGAGAAGAGGAAAGAAGAGAGAGAAGAGGAGAGGAGAGAGACAGAGAAGAGGAGAGAGAGATCACATCTATCACTGCAAAAGTGACACAGAGAGATAGCCTCAGAATTTGTTGAAAATTTATTTTTTCCTCAATATATGTTTTTATTTAAATTAGAAACATGAATACTTCACATGTCAATCCCAGCTCCCTCTCCCACCCCTCCTCCCTTGTCCTTCAAAAACCTGCCAAGTCCCCAAAATCTAAAACTGAAAATCAAAATTATCATCAACAACAACAAAACCGAACCAGACAAGACAAAAAAAATACCCAAAGAAAACAATCAAAAAGCACATTGACAAAAACACTGAGTAAGTATGTCTTGCATTGGCCAGCTTCTCCTGGGCATGGGGCCTGCTTTGGAGTGTGGGTGATATAGCACAGTGGCACTTCATTGGAGGGAACTGGTTTTCCCTTCCCTAACAGATATCGGTTGCAAATAAGTTCTTGGAGAGGTGTGGGACTTTGTGTCCACTTCCTCTTCTCATTTCCTGACTTGGATAGACCTTGTGCCTGCTGTCCCAGTATCTGTAAGTTCATATGTATATCAGCTCTATTGTCTCCAGGGGTCATGTGTCACATCTGGCTTTTACAATCTTTCTGCCTCCTCTCCTGCACAATCATCAGGGTCACTCAGCTATGATAACTGCAATACTACTTATATAATGGTGACCTGCTTGCAAGACATGTTGGTGTGATAGTGGCACTAATGTTATGGGACTAACCAACAACTTTTTGATTGGGTTTAAGTCCCATGTCATGAGATGGAGCCCATCCTGGACGCTGCTAAGGACCAGATACTTGATGGGTCGTTGGTCCTATCTGAAAACCTACTACTGTGAATCTGCTCAAGGAACAGAAACAAAATGACATACAGATCGGAGCATCACTTAGCCCTTATCAGACAATCATCTTACAATAGATGAGGAAGAATATGAAGACCCACAACTGAACGATGCACAGAGACTAAGAGAATTTGGAGCACTGAGCCCTAAATGGGATGCCTCTAATGCCAGTATTTTTCAAAATTAGGAATGCTGTTTGTAAAATTGTTTCCAATTTAGTGCTTGTTTCCTTTTTTGTAACAACCTTCTTTTCTTTCCATTTTTTAGCAATAATTCCACGTAGACCTGGTCTTGTTCAAGTAATTTCAGTTTCGAGTATAAGTTTTGTCATTGCCCTGTTTTGTGGACTAATGATCTCCTATATGATATAGTAAGTATATGCCATATGACCTATTACTAACTAGTAAGGGAGGAAATACACAAGGAAATTATTTAGTGTCAGAGGAGGACATTTCTTTTCTTTTCTTTTCAATTTTTAAATTTAAATTAGAAACAAGCTTGCTTCACATGTCAATCCCAGCTCCCTCTCCTCCTCCACCGCCTCCTATACCAGGCTTCTCCTGTCCCCCTCCCAATCAACACTCTGATCCCCAGTGAGGGTAAGGCCCTCCATGAGGGATCTCCAGAGTCTATCATTTTATCTAGGGCAGAGCCTAGGCTCTCTTGCAAGAGTCCAGATTGGGAGAGTATCCCTCATTGTGGAATGAGCACCCAAAGTCCATTTGTACGCCAGAGATAAATACTACCCAGGGCTTCATAGGTTGCCTAGGCCTCCCACATTCAGGGGGACTGGATCAGTTCCATACTGTCATCCAAGCCATCAGTCTAGGGTCCAAGAGCTCCCCCTTGTTCAGGTCGCTGTTTCTGTGGGTTAAACCAGCCTAGTCTTGATTCCTTTGCTCATCAGTCCTCCCTTTCTGTAACTGGATTCCAGGAGTTCAGTTCAGTGTTTAGCTGTGGGTGTCTGACTCGGCTTCCATCAGTCACTGGATGAAGGTTCCTTTTCCCAGACTCTTGGGCAGTGGGTTTGTATGTTGGCAATCCCTTGATTCATGTCTAAAATCCATAAATGAGTGAGTACATACCATGTTTCTTTTTTGTGACTGGGTTATCTCACTCAGGATAGTTTCTTTAGCACTATCAATTTGCCTGCAAATTTCAAGATTCCATTGTTTTTTTTTTTCTGCTGAATAGTACTCCATTGTGTAAATGAACCACATTTTTTCTATCTACTCTTCAGTTGAGGGGCATCTAGGTTGCTTCTAGGTTCTGGCTATTACAAATAATGCTGCTATGGATATAGTGGAAGAGACATCCTTGTTGTATGAATGTGAATCTTTTGAGCATATGCCTAAGAGTGGAATTGCTGGATCTTGTGGAAGACTGATTCCCATTTTCCTGAGGTATCTCCATACTGATCTCCAAAGTGGCTGTACAAGTTTACACTCCCACCAGCAGTGTTGTGTTCCCCTTTCTCCATGTCCTCTCCTGCATATCCTGGATCTTTTGTTTTTCCACATAAAGTTGAGAATCGTCCTTTCAAGGTTTGTGAAGAATTGTGGCGGTATTTTGATGGGGATTGCATTGATTCTGTAGATTGCTTTTGGCAACATTGCCATTTTTACTATGTTGATCCTACCTAACCAAGAGCATGGGCGATCTTTATATTTTCTGGTATCTTCTTTAATTTCTTTTTTTAAAGAGTAAAAGTTCTTGTCTTACGGGTGTTTCACCTGTTCGCTTAGAGTTACAACAATGTATTTCATGTTGTTTGTGGCTATTGTAAAGGGGGATGTTTCTCTGATTTCTTTCTCAGCACATTTACTGTCTAAGTATAATAGGGATACTGATTTTTTAAGTTAATCTTGTATCTTACCACTTTGCTGAAGGTTTTTATCAGCTGTAGGAGTTCCCGTGTAGATTTTTTTGGGTCACTTATGTAAACTATCATATTATCTGCAAATAGTGAAAGCTTCACTTCTTTCTTTCCAATTTGTATCCCTTTGATCTCCTTTTGGTGTCTTATTGCTCTAGCTAGAACTACAAGTACAATATTGAAGATATATGGAGAGAGTGGACAACCTTGTCTTGTTCCTGATTTTATAGAAATCACATTGAGCTTTTCTCCATTTAGTTTGATGTTGGATGTTGGCTTACTGTATATGCCATTATCATGTTTTCATATGTTCCTTTTATCCCTGATCTCTCCAAGATCTTCATTAAGAAGTGGTTTTGTATTTTGTCAAATTTCTTTCAGCACCTAATGAAACAATCATGTGGTTTTTCTTTTTGAGTTTGTTTATATGGTAGATTACAGTGACAAATTTTCATCTGTTGAACCATCTCTGCATCTCTGTGATGAACCCTACTTGATCATGGTGGATGATTTTTTTCTGATGAGTTGTTTGATACTGTTTGCCAGTATTTTCTTGAGTATTTTTGCTTCATTGTTCATGAAGCAGATTGGTCTGTAGTTTTGTTTCTTAGTTGTGTCTTTGTGTGGTTTGGGTACCAAGGTAATTGTTCCCTCATTAAAAGAGTTTGGCAATGTCCCTTCTGCTTCTATTGTGTTGAACACTTTGAGGTGTATTGATATTAGCCCTTCCTTGAATTTCTTGTAGAATTCTGCACTGAAACCACCTGACCATGGGCTTTTTTTAATTGTGAGACTTTTGATGACTGCTTCTGTTTAATTATGGGTTATAGGTCTTTTTAATTGCTTATATGTACTTGATTTAATTTTTTTAGGTGATGCCTATCCACAAAATTGTCCATTTCCTTTAAATTTTCCAACTTTTTGGAGTACAGATTTTCAAAGCATGACCTGATGATTCTAGGTGTTTCCCTCAGTGCCATTGTTGTATCCCTCTGTTCATTTCTGATTTTGCTAATTTGCATGTTCACTCTCTGCCTTTTGGTTACTTTCAATAAAGGTTTGTCTATCTTGTTGATGTTTTCAAAGAACCAACTCTTTGTTTCATTGATTCTTTGTATTGTTTTCTTTGTTTCTACTTCATTGATTTCAGTCCTCATTTTGATTATTTCCTTGTGAGAGTGGGCTGTTGAAGTTTCCCACTACAAGTGTGTGTGATTTGAGTTTTAGTAATGTTTCTTTTACAAATATGGGTGCGTTTGCATTTGTGGCATAAACGTTGAGGTTGGAGACTTCATCTTGATGGACTTTTCCTGTGACGAACATTACATGACCTTGATTTCTTTGATTAATTTTATTTTGAAGTGTAATTTGTTAGGTATTTGAATAGCTACACCAGCTTGCTTCTTAGGTCCATTTGATTGGAAAAATCTTTTCCCAACCCTTTACTCCGAGGTGAAGTCTGTCTTTGAAGTTGAGGTGTGCTTCTTGAATGTACCATAATGATGGATTCTGTCTTTGTATCCATTGTGTTATCCTGTTCCTTTTTATGACTGAATTAAGACCATTCACATGAAGAGAAATTAATGATCACTGATTGTTGATTCTTGTTAGTTTTGTAGTTGTTGTTGTTGGTTGTCACTGAAATATAAATTGTATACTTTGATGAAGGGTATGGGTGACTATTTATTGTGGGAAGGTACTTATAAGGGAAACCGGCATCCCAGGTTGGTCTCAGTGACTTCCAAGACCCGACTAGAACCCCGAAAAAGATTGTGAGGGTCCTGGTGCACAGCCCTTTATTTCCCATGTCCCTATGCACCTGTAGCCATGCCAAAAGCAGTCGTAGTCAGCAGCACAGGTACCTAAGATCTCCCCCTGCAGGAGGTGGTGTGTGTGTGTGTGTGTGTGTTTCCCTTTTTTGGGTTTTGGTAATGTGAGATTATCTGTTGCCAGATTTTCTATTTCCAGAAATCCCTCAGTTTTTGTTTTCTTTGTTGCCTCTATTTCAGTTTTCAAGTCCTGAACTGTTTGAATCATTTCCTTCTCCTGTTTGATTGTTTTTTTTTCTTGGCTTTCCTTAAGTGATTTCTTTATTCCATTTTTGTTTGTCTTTTCTTCCATTTTTTGTCTTTTCTTCCACTTCTTTTATGGGCTTTTTTTATTTCCTCTTTGAGTTCTTATTTCATCTTCATGAAGTTGTTTTTAAGGTCATTTTCTTCTGTTTTATTAGTGTTGGGATGTTCAAGTCTTGCTGGTGTAGAACCTTTAGACTCTGATGGTGTCATATTACTCTCTATGTTGTTGAATGCATTATTATGCTGTTGTCTTCCCATTTCTTCTTCCAGTGGGTGCAGTCGGGGTCTCTACTGGTGTATGTGGAAGCAAGGTTTCAATGGCTCTAGCTCTCGCTGTGGGCGGCTTCCCTAGGTCTCTTTCCTGGTGGATGATGCTGGATGATCATTTGGGGACCAGAAGGTCTTCGGGGGATTTAGTGGGTGGGAAGAACCTATGTACCCCAGCCAAGGGCCTCCAAGGGGTGGGAGGGGCAGGAGAAGGCCCAGTACTCACTTCTCCCAATAGGTGAGGGGCCAAGGCTCCATTGGTGTCAGCTGCTGGATTTTCAGGCCGCTAGCAGGTCTTTTACCTCATTCTTTCTGAATCACCATGTTTACTGCATTTAATGAATTATTTTGTGAGAATAGGTTTTTTGTCACCATCTTAAAGCCTGTTTCTAGGATTATCCCCCTAGTTTTCCTTTACCACTGCTCCTCAGAATACAATTAAGTTAATCATCCAAGTATTTTTTTATTACCCAAGACACATAGAGCTAGGCAGATAAGTATGCCAGGTGAAAGTAAAACACTGCCATCCATTTCTACTGCCATCCATTCAGACTGACAGTGGCAAGAGGGGGGACACTACTTCAACTATAAATTTTAAGGGAATGTTTAAAATTTCACTAATCAGGATTGTCTTAGGGCTTCTCTTGCTGTGAAGAGACACCAGGACCATGACAAATCTTATAAAGGAAAGTACTTAATGGGAGTTTACTTACAGTTCAGAGATTTAGTCCATTATTGTCATGGTGGGAAGCATGGCAGCTCACAGGCAGACAGGGTGCTGGAGAGGGAGCTGCACATTCAAAATCTGGATACTGTAGGCAGCAGTAAGAAAGAGTGACAATGGGCCTGCCTTGAGCTCTTGAAACCTGAAAGCCTACCCCAGTGACACACTTTTTCCTATGTACTCCAACAAGGCCACACCTCCTAATAGTGCTACTCTGTATGGGCTTTTTGTTTTTCATTCAATTCACCACATTCTACTCCCTGAAAACTCTTGAGTTGTCCCCTGTAGTTCAAATTACCTTTAGCACCACCGTCTTCCATGCTTTTACTAGTATGGTCCAATAAGCAATGCTTAAAGCATTCCAGTGCAATCCTAACCCAAAGTCCCCAAACCCACATTCCTTCAAACAAAAACATGGTGTGGCCTATCACAGCAATACCCCAATCCCTGATATCTGTCTTAGTTAGGGTTTCTATTGCTCAAAGCTCAAAACCTCCTTATCCCCCCACCCCCTGCCAGGCCCTGCACACTTTTTCAAACAAGGACACACCTCCTATTAGTGCAACTCCCTATGAGCCTATGGGGGCCATTTCTCATTGAAACCACAAGGATGAATGCTATTTTAATGCAGTATTATAAAATATCAATTCCAAAATAGCCCCAGTTTAAAAAATGACATCTTTCTGTATGAGTGAGTTGCTGATGTCCATAGCTGGAGGCCAGGGTCTACTTTGGGTGTCATTCCTCAGTGCCATCCATCTTGTTTTCTGACATCTCTGGGAACTAGAGCTCACCGATTAGGTTAGACGGGTGGCATAATGAGCTTCGTGCCTGCCCACTGTTGGGTTACAAGTGTGCATCATCACATCTGACTCTTTATGTAGATACTGGAGATTGAACTCAGGTCCTCACCCTTGCGTGACAAGCTGTTTGCTGACCAATCTGTGTCCTCAGCTCCAATTAAGTACAGGATCTGTGATGGGTGAAGCCAGGATATAGAGGCTCTGTAAGAGGAACTTGTCGCGTCTGCTGTGCCGCCTGTGTCCGAGAACGTGCGGAGGGTGTCGGGGATTGACAATACAGAGACTCGTTCAACGATATAAAGAAAACTTTAAGCAGGCCCCAGAAAGGTTCAAGAAAACTTCCTAAGAAAGGCTTCCACCAGAGAAGCTTCTGCTCTCTCCTCTACCCTGGCTGGTTCTGCTCTGACACCAAAAACTGATCTGGGCGTGTCAGAAGAGGCGATTAGTCTTTGGACAAAGTCGAGGTCAGGGCGGTTTCCGTGGGCAGGCCTTTTCCAGGACCTTATTGCCCCAGGCATTGTATTGTTCTTAGTAAACATGTTTTAGTAAACATTGTCTTACAGCTGCCTACTCCCAGGCTGAAGGGGAAGTGGGTCTCTGCTCAAGGTCTGGTGTCCCCACACTGTAAGAGGAACTATTAATAATATCCCACATATATTTAAAATCTGGATACTTTGTTCATTGTGGCTTTCTTGGCATTAATTTTATGTTGTATCATATTGCATCAATACTGGTTTCTGTTTTAAATTCCTTGAATTTTGTATCTAGTCTAAGTATGTCACTCACATTCAGTCCTGTTTAGTTATGTAGTTTGGAACTATCAGAGTATTTGTTGATACAAATCAGCTGGGCCAAATCAGAAATTTGAAGTCTCACATAAATGTGTATTTTGCTTCTGTTCTCCATCTACCTTCACAAATAAGCAATTCCTCTTGAGTCAAAAAAATTCTGTATCTTGACTGGAGTGATGACTCAGGGTTAAGAGCATTCCAGGCTCTTGCAGAGGACTGGAGTTTAGTTTCCAGCATCCAGGTTGGGTGGCTCATAATTGCTTGTAACTCCAGATCCAGTGATTCTGATGTTGTCTTCCCTGGTCTTCACAGACACCTGCTACCACCTCCCCTCTGTCTTATACACATACATATAAATAAAACATAAAACCCGAAGTATATAACCGGATGATTCACTGTTTAAAAAAATCTGCCCTCACATTCATCTCTCTAGTCGGCTGGTGAAAGCTGAGGAAAAACAGCAGCTTGCAATGTTGTATGAGAATCTAGAGATTCCACTTTTAGATGAAAAGGAGGCCTCTGAAGATGAAGGCCAGGATGAGTCTTCTGAACCACACCCAGAGAATGAGGAGCTGGGGAAGTTCATCGGCTCAGGTACTTTGTCCTGTCGGATCCAAGGCTGGGAATGGTGGCTGGGTTTCCCCCCACAAAAAATGTAGCTGGGATCAAGTAGAGTCTGAGCTAAGAAAGTTGAATGCTTATGTGGAAATGAACCATTCTCATTGAACCCCAGGGACCAGTGGGTGACTGTCCACAATTTCTTGATTTTTAATGTGGGCCAAATCTAAAAAGAAACCTTTATTTTGAATGTAATATTCACTTGAACATACCTATTATTGGTGCATTGATCCTGCACTCATAACATCTACAGGCTGACATGCCATTTGCCTCAGGCTGGGGTAGAAATGGGTTTCAGGTCCAAACAATGGAAGTCATTTTTCCCACTGGATGGACCCTATCAGAGACACAGGCTTGTGATAGGTGCCTTCATGTCTTTGTGAAGAGTGGATGACATAAATACTTCATAAGCTTGATTTTGTAAAAGCTTTCAGGTTCAACATGTAAAATTTGGTGTCTGGTCCAAATGCAACAACATCCTTCACTTCATTCTTAAACAATGGTAGATGTACCCATCCAGAAAGAGACAGAGACTAAGAGCAGAAGGGATGATTGATGCCTACTGAGGCTGACAGCCTTTGTAACTCACAGAAAATATTTTACAGTGTCTTTTTGTTACATTGGGTTATTATTGGGTATTTGAAAGGCTTGAACACAGAATGTAGTACTTTTAAAATTCAAATTTCAGCCGAGGGTGTGGTGGCTTACACCTGGAATCACAGCACTTGGGAGGTGGTAGTAGGATGGTGAAGTCAAGGCCAGCTTCGGATGCATTGTAAAATTTTGTTTCCAAAAAAACCCTAAACCAAAATGAAATTTAAAGACTCTCTTTATAAGTAACATTTTTTATTCTCTGAAAATGCCTTTCTTTTCCCATGATTCCCCCTCACCCATTTGTCTTCACTTCTATACTCAAATGACTCTAAACTCAACAATACAATTTCTATATTTCAGTTATTAGAACAAAAAGAAGGGAAAGCATTTTAAAGAAGAAGAAGGGAGAGCAAAACCTACTGAACGAAAATATGTCAGAGGATTACAATTATACTGAAAAAGCGGAGAGTCAAGATGAAATGGAGAAAGATGAAAAAGGGGGGTATCTGTGAAAACTGAAGGTATAACATATTTGGGACAATGTAGAGACCAAATTGCGTGGATAACAGATGACTAAGAACATGAACAGGATTTACTTCCAGAGAACCTTGTAGAAGAATATGCTAGAGAAAGAAATGTGAGAAATATATACCTGAAAATAAATTCATATCATACAGAGACTCTTGCTTCTTAGTTATGATAGTCCATGAATAATTATAACTTAGGTAGGATATAGAAAACAATTCAAGTTCACTAACAATGAAGACAAATTTTTTTTGTATTTTGGCTCCATGTCAGAAACAAAGCTTAGTCCTTTTGGGGGAGTCCTCATGACTGTGATAACAAAATATTTTCATTAAAAACTTACTAAGTGATATTACTATCAAATAAGTCATTTATCTCAATTTTACACAATAAGACATTGAAGATATCTTAATAAATATGCCATTAGATTTAGACATTGGCATCTCTGTTGGTTTTCAGTTCCAATGAGGGAACTAGTTCATGCTGAAGAATCAAATAATGAAAGAAAATATCACCAAATATCTTAGAGTTTAAGCACATTTATTAGTACATTGTCCATTTTAGTTAGTACATTTTAAGTACATTGCTAAGTACAACCCAACAGTTTTGTGTTGGTTCCCATTTGTTGCCATCCTGAGGACAATTGCTTTGAAAAACAATCTAGACATTCCTATAAATACCGACTTGCTACATGACCAAGCATATCTACTCCTATGTATATATCCATACAAAAATTTGCACATGTTTATGACAGCATTATATAGCCAAACATGAGAGCATATGCCAGCACTTGGGAGGTAGTAATAGTAAGACTATGAGTCTGAGGTCAGCCAGGGCTATAGAGTGAAATGTTTTCTCAGTAACTGGTAAGCAGATGAACAAACTGCAACTTATCTATATGACTGAATATTTCTCCAGCAATTAAAGGGGTGAAGTCTGGTGTATACCCCACATATGTGCGTTCATAATAAAAACATTGTACTCAGTGTAAGAAACCAGAGAGCTGCCGTGTGATTTTGTTTACATAAAACACCCATAAATGGCAAAGCCTATAGTTAATAGTGGATTTCTGGTAATAGGCAGCTGTAGAGGCTTCTGTTTGTAAGTTCCAGTCACTGTGGAGACTTGAAGACTTTCAGAAGTGGCAGCATGGTTTCTCACAGTTCCCAGTTCTGTAGGTAGTCTCTTTCCTGTGACTTTTGTTTCCTTTGCTCTATACAAATACAGTCCTTAAAGGGCAGCTGTTCTGTTGTCAAATTTTCTTGGACCCAGAATATGTCAATAGAAGATAATACCCAGCTGACAGTTGTTCCAGTAGAACAAACTATAGACCCTCTTCCTGTTTTTGTATTCCATGGCTCTATTTTTAAATAAAGCAAAAATTTCTAGGCAACTCCACCCTGCATCAGAACCTAGATCCCTGATTTTGTAGATAGTTCCATGTGCTCAGTTCATGAGTTTATCAGTCACACATTTTCCTGTGGGTTATCTTCCTCTAAAATGCATTAGGCAGTTAACTAGTATTTCCTCTCATGTTCACATGGAGCAGAGGTGGAGGATACCAATTTTTTTGGGGGAAGCAGAATATTACTTCCCAGAGTATCATAGTTTTGACTTCTCAAGGGCTGTTCTCCCTATGAGGCCCTCCTTGAAATGTAGTTCAGTCTCAAGAGAACTTTTGTACTTGGCCAAAAAAAACCAGCATCATGCATTGGAACTACACATTGATGCAACATTTGGGTTGAGCTGCCAACATGCTGTTGTCATTAACAGGGAAAGACTGTGTCAGTGCAGTATATGTAAGAAATCTTACAGTACAATCACTAGCCTCAGTGTTTAATCAAGAGTTCATACTTCAGAGAAGCCATATGAATATGGAGAATGCAACGAATCCTCTAGGCAAAGGCCTAGCTTTATTACCCACAAAGAAGTTCACATGGGAATAAGACCTCACCAATGTGACAAATATGAAAAATTACTTAGTAGGAAGTATGATCTCTTTAAGAGAAAATTCACATGGGTCAGAGTTCTTACAAGTGTGTGAATGTGGGAAATCCTTTGTATTAAACTTTTTATTATTTTTATTCTTTTCTCTCATATATTACACTCCACTACAAGTTTCTCCTCCCTCCTCTCCTCCTGGTCTTTCCACCAACCTCCTCTCACCCCTGAATCCATTATTTCTCCATTTCCCATCAGGAAAAGAGCAGACTTCCCAGGAATGTCAACCCAACATGGCATACCAAGTTACAATAAGTTTAGGAACATACTCTTATATCAAGACCGGACAAGGCAACTCGATATGAGGAAAAGAGTTCCCAAAGCAGCCAAAAGTGTCAAAGATACCCTCAGTCCGACTGTTAGGAGTCCCATAAAAGCACCAAACTAATAACCATAACATATTTGCAAAGGATCAAGGTCAGACCCATGCAGGTTTCCTGATTGTCACTTCACTCTGTGAGCCCCTATGAGCCTTGGTTAGTTGATTCTGTGGGCCATGTTCTTATGGTGCCCTTGACCTCTCTGGTTCCTTCTCTCTCTTTCATAGGATTCCCTGAGCTCCACCTAGTGTTTGGAAAAATGGTCACTTATTAAGCACCAGATCATTCATAGTAGAAAATGACCTTATGAATGTAACGGATGTAGGAAATCCTTCACATAGAAGTCTCATCTCTTCTTACATCAGAGAATTCACAATGGTGTAAGATCTCATGAGTGTGATAAATGTGGAAAATTATTTAGCAACAAATCTATTCTTATCAATGAAAGCATTCATACTGAAGATAGTCCTTATGAATGTAATGAATGTGGGAAGTCCTTGGAGAAGTCACACTGAAGAGAGGGCTTGTGAATGCAGTGAATGTAAGATATTTTTTAGTTACCACTCTAGTTTATTAAACATGAAAGAGTTCACACTGGAGGAAGGTCTTTATGTGAAGTGAGCCCTATAGAATGCTCTAGAATGACAATACCAACATTAAGAGGTTAACTCCATCCAAAGAAAATACAGAGAATAAATAATCCAAGACCAGCAAATCAAAAGAGGAGAATTACACACACACACACACACACACACACACACACACACACACACACAGAGAGAGAGAGAGAGAGAGAGAGAGCACTACCATCACCAACCCACCACTGCACCAACAACAAAATAAGAGGAATCAATGAACAATGCTTATTGACATTTTTCAGTGCCAATAGTCTCAATTTCCCAACAAAATGACACAGACTAATAGAATGGATGCAATTAGCAGGATCCATATTTCTGCTGCAAAAAACACACCGTACCATTAAAGATAGACATAACCTCAGGGTAAAAGGACAGAAAAAGATTTTCCAAGCAAATGGATGTAAGAAGAAGGCTCGCATAGCCATTTTAATATCTGACAAAATAGACTTCAAACCAAAACTAATCAGAAGAGATAGGGAAAGACACTATATACTCATCAAAGGAAAAATCTACCAAGAGGACATTGCAATTTTTTGTTTGTTTTGGTTTTGGTTTTCTAGATAGGGTTTCAGCTCTGGCTGGCCTATAAGTCACTTTGTAGACCAAGACGGCCTCAAATTCATAGTGATCTGCCTGCCTCTATGTGGGGATTGAAGACATGCACTGCCATTGTCCAACTGGCATTTCAATTCTTAATATTTATGTTACAAACATAAAGGCCTCCAAACTTCATCAAAGAAACATTACTATATCTGAAATCATACATTGACCTTCACACACTGCTGACAGTGGAAGACTTCAATACCACACTCTCACCAATATATAGGCCACTCAGATAAAAACTAAACAGACAAATGCTAAAGCTAACTGACTATAAACAAAATGTGCTTAACAGATATTTTCAGAACATTTCACATCCAGACAAAAGAATATATCTTCTTCTCTGCACTTGATGGAATGTTTTCCAAAATTGGCTACATACTCAGATATAAAGCAAAAGATTCAAGAAAAGTGAAATAGCACCCTGAATCCTACCTGACCACCACAGACTGAAGCTGGAACAATAGAAACAACAGAAAGCTTTCAAACTCATGGAAACTGAACAACTCTTTACTGAATGAAAAATGACTCCATAAAGAAATTAAGAAATAAATTAAAGACCATCTAGAATTGAATGAAAACCAATGTCAAACATACCAAAACACATGGAAAAAATGAAAGTGATTCTAAGAGGCAAAACATAGCACAATAAAGTACCTACACAATAAGTACCTACACAGCAAAAAGAATCAGAGCTAATTTCATACTAGTAACTTAACAGCATATCCCAAATCTCTAGAACAAAAAGAAGAAACCACATCCAAAAAGAGTAGAGGCATGATATAATCAAAATCAATATTGAAATCAATAAAGTAGAAACAAAAGAATACAAGAATCAATAAAACCCTCTGCCCTCTGCTTGAGGTGAATGTGGGTTCTGCTTAAGCCCAACTCTCCCCTTCCCCTCCTTGGAACCTCCTGGGTCTGTGACATGTATAGAGGACCTGCCACAGCAGGACAGATCACCCTGAGTCTGGCCACACCTCAGTGTTGGCCCTCCCTATGTCTCCTGCCCTCCACCCTCCACCCAATGCCCTCCTCTTGAATCTTGCCCACCCCCATGCCCTCCGCTTGAGTGAGGAGAACACCATGAGAGGCCAGACAACCCAGAACTACCATCATTGAAGTCTTGTCCCCTATGCCCACTAGGAGATGAGAGGAGAGGGAGAGATCCCACCTGCACCCACTTGAAGAAGGAATGGGAAGATGACAGTATAAGAACACACTCAAGAACAGAAAGACCAATATGACACTATCAGAATCTAGGAACTCTACATAATCAAGACTTGAACATCCTAAGAAGAAGCAGAAGAGAAGGACCTCAAAAACAACTTTATGAAGAAGATAGAAACCTTCAAATAGGAAATGAGAAAATACATTAAAGAAATGGAGGAAAACAAAAACCAAGAAATTCAAGAAATTAACAAATCTCTTAAAGAATGCAAAGGAAGCCAAGAAAAAAAAACAACCAAAAAAGTGACAGAAACAACTAACAGTTCAAGGCGTGAATGCTGAAATAGAAACAATAAAGAAAACACAAAATGAGGGGATGCTGGAAATATAAAAGTGGGTAAACAATCAGTAGCTACAGATGAAAGTATAACCAATAGAATACAACAGATGGAAGAGAGAATCTCAGGTGTTGAAGACTCACCAGAGGACATACAGTCATTGACCAAAGAAAATCTCAACTCCAACAAATCCCTAACACAAAATATCCAGGAAATGTGGGACACCTTGAAGAGACTAAACCTAAGAAGGTGAAGAAATACAGTTTAGGGATACAGAAAACATATTAAACAAAATAATAGAAGAAAACTTTCCTAACCTAAAGACAGACATGCCTATGAAAGTACACGAAGCTTACAGGACACCAAATAGATTGGACCACAAATAGAAGTCCCCTTGCCACATAATAATCAAAACACCAAACTTACAGAATAAAGAAAAATATTAAGAGCAGCTAAGGAAAAGGCCAAGTAACATATAAAGGCAGACCTATCAGAATTACACCTGACTTCTTAATGGAAAATATGCAAGACAGACAGTCCTGGATAGATGTTCTACAAATGCTAAGGGAACATGGATGCCAGCCAAGACTACTATACCCAGAAAAGATCACAATCACTATAGATGGAGAAAACAAGATATTCTATGACAAAACCTGAGGTAAACAATACATATCCACAAATCAAGCCCTATAGAAAGTACTGGAGGAAAACTCTTACCCAAGAAAGACAACTACACTTACAAAAACATGGGCAATAGATAAAGAAAAAGTGGAGGGGGGTTAATACACACAGAATTCCAACAACAACAATGAATTCAAAACAAACAAGAATTAATAATCAATGGTCATTAATATCCATCAAAGTCAATGGTCACACCTGTAAAAAGATATAGGCTAACAGAATGGATACTAAGACAGAATCTGTCCTTCT